ACGTACGTACGTAGGTAGGTAGGTAGGTAGGTAGGTAGGTAGGTAGGTAGGTAGGTAGGTAGGTATGTATGTATGTATGTATATGCCGGAACTGAAGCTCAAGGACAGTTCTTTTCTATGATCAAGGCAAAAGCGAAACTCAGGTTTAAGATGCCATAGCAATAGAATCAATAGAACTTGCCACGGCATGCCACCAGAGAGAGCGAGCAGAATCCCTCAACCTGACTTCAATAAGTCTCTGCATTGGGGTAAGGGTGCTGCTGTCTCCAGGCTCGGTGTTGAGTCTTGCTTTCGGCACTGGCCCGAGCTTCTTCCAGTTCACCAGAGTGATTTGGGAGTTTCCGAAAATTAGGGTACCTTATTTGGGGGTCCTTATAATAAGGATCCTATTATTTAGGGTACTATATTAGGGTCCCCTATTTTCGGAAACCCCCATTTGGGGCCAAACAGGACATGGAGCTTCCTCGAAGCGGGTTTCGTTGCCGGGGTTACGGCCAGTATGAAATATCTCGAAAGCTCTGAGGAAGCAACGAGATGAACCAGAACGCTGGTGTCCACACGACTCGGTGCTTGCAGCGATGCCCTCGGACAGGTTATCTAGGCCTTGAGAGTTTTTGGAGATTGGCGGGTCTTGGAGGTTGGGGGTGTGGTTCAAGGATGTCGGGTTTAAGTAGGGTCTTCAGTGATCATGAGTTGGCTGAGTGTGTTCTATGCATCAGGGACCTCGTCTTGCATATGGTGAACGCCGGAAAGTTTGAAGATGCGCATCCAAATGTCCAGTAGCCAATTTTCAGAACACATGGACGACGAATCTTCCAACTTTGGAAATCTTCCTATGTTGCCATCTTAGCACTTTTGCAATCCAAAACTAGCTTGCCAATCAAAGACCCGCCAAAATCCCGAGTGTCCAGGAAAATATACCCTCAGCCCTAGACCCCAACCGACCCCAAAAAAACCAAGCAGCTTAAAAGCTAAAACCTGAGGCGGTGAGAGGTGGAGCTAGCGGACCTGATGCGAGGCTTTGGATGGAGGGACTTGGGTTCAGGGTCCAGGTGAATGGCCGAGTTTCAGGTAGAGCTCGGTGGGAGGAAAAGCCATAAGCATAAGTCAGAAGGCACAGTGAGAGAAGCAGTGAAGTAGCCGGTGTCATCATGCCAGGTGTTTGGCTCAAAGACTTCAAGTCCTAGCATCGCGAATCCCATGAAAGGCTTCGGGGCTGTCGCGCATGCTGCCCCTCAGCAGCTTCCTGTTCTGATGGGTATGGCTGGCCCTTGCTAACTAACCCTGGTCAAGCTCCAAGATTGCCCATGACTTGGAACAAACCCGCATGTGATGATGGCTTTCGATCCGAAGCTCGATAAGCCCTCCTCAATTCAAGATCTTCCTAGTCACTGGCACTGACAGGGACATGCTGGACTCGTCAGAATTCTGGGCAAAGAATAACCAGAGGCTCGATGAGGCCGGAAGAACCACCATGCTGGGTTGAAAGTTCAGGTTCATGCTGTCGAAGACAGGGGCTGGCATTTGACAGGTGCTTGGGGTAGAGAGGAGCGACTGGTTGAGCGAGACTTCATAAGAACGATGCGCCCTTCTTTGGAGCTGCCAGCCACGACCCCCACCCGACGTGCGTTTCAAGCACACGCCAGCTCCCCTGCTATCAATCAATGTCTGCGGTTGAAGCTGTTGATACTCCATGGCATCAAGCGCCCAAGAAACCCTTGCCTTCGCAAGTCTCCAGCCGAACGCGCCCCCAGGCTCTTTAACTTTGCATATCCTCGTTAGAAGAGGGCTTGGGTTTCGATGCCTTTTGGAACACGGGTTGTACCATGGTTGTACAGACATGCACAGACCCAGTATGCCGTTCATAAACTCCCAGAAAGGTCGGCATCCGCCCGAACGTTTGCCACTTTGAGTCCAGCCGCTGGGAGCGCGCCTCAGCTGTCTCCTTCGCGAGTGTAGACCTTCTTCAGTATAATATTCTCTCTTTCTAAACCTCGAGTAAAGGCGAAGGAGCAGCCCGAACAAGGCCTCAGTTTGACGCGCATGTTGCTTACACTGCAGCCAAGTGTGTGCAACATCAGAGTGCCATACTCCACATGTATGTTGTTCAATTTTGCAACTGGCGACACTTTCTCGTTTCGTTTGTAGATTGGACGAGCTGTGGTGAACCCGGCAGTGCCGAGTGCAGTCGGCTGACCCCACACGCTTCAGAGAAAAGTGTGTGTTACTAATATAGAAGCCTAGATAAATACCAATAGCATTTTGGGTGTTCCTATCATTAATACTGATAGTATATCATGCCCCCAAAACCCTGTTCTAATTATTCAAGCCCCTACATCATGGCAAAATTGGAATCTCCCTCCAGAGGTCTGGCGAAACACTCGCGACCCGGAAGCTGAATCTGAGGAGTTCTGCCTGCTGCCGAGGGGTTTACTTTTCAGGCTGCGCCCAGACTTCCACGCAATCTCTAAGCTTGGATACTTCAGATCTAAACCACCTATCCTCCACTGAACCTGAACCTTAAATCCTGAGAAGCTAGTTACATCACGTCCATCGGTCCTTCACTTTGGCAGCTGCAGTACTTAAGGAAATTAAATTGCACTGCAGACCCCTATCTGACCTCGCCCGTGAGCATAGTTCTCTGCTATGCCAGAGAGAAAAATGCTGCTAGTGATTCGGGAAGTTAAAGAGATTTGGAATCCAAAACGCCTATCCTCGGACTTCAAAGGTTACAAAAATTCGTCAGCGCAGCATCTTGGTCTAATCTGCGCGACAATGCGGGAGATCAACTAACGATCCTTGTCGGTGATTCAGCCGGAGCGTCAAAACCAATCTCCAATCTGCATGGGAAGCTCGGCAATACCAGAGAGAACGAGGCCGTGGCTTCGCGGACGTTCCTTCAGTCTACCAGCCCGAGGCTCTTGAGCACAGTTTGATTCGGTTGTAGGGTTTTGGGTTTTGGGTTTAGGGTTTGGGGTTTAGGTTGTTGTTGGGGGTTGGTTGGGGAGTAGAACTTAGGGCTGTTAAGGGCTTAGTCTTAGAGGTTGAAGGTCGTTGCCATTGCCGTAGATCCGTGCGACGACTGCAGGCCCTCAATTGGCATGCCCCGGGGATGCATTCTATTTCGTACGTACATCTTGTCTCGATACAGAATCGAGCTCCAACTCAGCTACCCACATAAATCACTGGAAGTTCCTCTGCAGGCCGACAAACAACCATAGACGATGACTCCAATGGACATAATAGCAAGCCCAAACTCCTCAGCCAAAATTGGTTCGGGCGTTGTGAGCGTCGGAGCCTCCATCCCGACCCTGAGAGTCTGGGCCCCCCCTAAGAGGTGTGTTCAGAAATGGTGAGCTCCCTCTCTGAGGGATCCTCGCGGTGAGCTGTGTAAGAGGATGCATCTGGGTCCCGTTTTGCACACCACTTTTGGTCCCAAGTCGCCGGTAGGTGGACGATTTCATGTCGAGAGATCGGCCATGGACCCTGGCAGTGGACATCGCCGGGGCGCAGTGAGCCTTGAAAACTACACCAGTTAGCCGAACCGTCGTGCGATAGAATCTCAGCCATTTTTGGGTCAGGGGATCATGTTTTGAAGAGTTCCGGCTTTCGGATCTCGAAAGTGCAAGAGCCAGCTTTCGATTCTCAAGTGCGGTCTTAGGGGGAACCCTATGAACAAGACCCTGAACTTCAGGCCATGAGCTAGTGTACCCTTAAACTGCTGCGCGGTTGCCTGTTGCCTTCCAGAGTCCTCGAAGCACCGGATTCTCTAGGCATCAAAATCTCTAGGCCCTGCCTCATCCCCCGCAGCTGGTGACTCGCAGTAGCATGAGAATCGCCATGGTAGCACAGGTAGAATCGCAGGTATGGCGGGGGCTGCGGCTCGGCGAACGGAAGAACCTGGGCCACGCAGGACAGGGAGCACTCGACAAGTTCACTGAGAAGTCAATTGAGCCTCGAAGTTTCCTTGCAAGAAGACTGGTCAGGACTCTTACAGTTTGGACGCTAGGATGCTAAGAGGTTGTCGAACTTGAGGAGTTTGCGCTTGAGGCTTTCGAGAGGCTCAACAGAGTTCTCTGATCGGCCGCAGATGAAAACTCGGGACGTGTGCCAAGAACTCCAGTAACCGGCTTCAGGACGAAAGCACGTCCGAAGCTTAGAATCTTCGTCCCTGCGCTGTCAATAAGCGGAAATGCCGAGGGTCGGGGATTCTGACGGTGTCGTGAGAGGGGGGGGTCTTCGACCAAGATGCTGAGAACTTGTCGCTGCTTTGGCTATTCTGGGGCAGCTTTAGTTTAAGAGTGGACTTCTGAGCATGTAGGTGACTGCCGACAGCTCGCCTGGAACATCGTGGTAGACGTGCTTTACGGGACACCTGAGCAAGAAATCAGGACAATTAACCTCACTACATAGCACAACACAGCCGTCATCGGGATACCGCAGTACCATCGCCGCCGCCGCCACCACCACCACCGGCACCACCACGTGGGCCAGGAGCACGACTACTGCTGGCAACATCACGACGACGACGTCGAGCACGACCACGACACGCGAGCACTACGAATACTAAAACAATAGTTAAGAGGAAGAAGAACATTGGCGAAGGAACATAAAGTAATTGTATCAACCATATAGAGCTACTTAGTTCAATTGTGTTGGTTTCCCCCGCCTAGATCCTGCCCGGTCTTGAACTTCTGTATTTTCGCGAGTCAGCCCAAGATCATCGTCGCTCCCCCTATGGCGATGTCCGTGCTTGCCCAGATTTGCACAGTGAAAATCACGAACACACGCACAGCCAAAACAGCTGTTTTCGCGCGACTTGCTGCTGGACGAAGGCCAAGCACAGAGACCAGCAGCACATTAGTTCTGGAGGTTGCGGCGACATCTTGGGCATTTAGTCGCCAGATGCTTACCCGTGTAGTGGGTCCCAAAGTTGGTGACTCTGACAATGCACACAACCCCACATTCAGTTTTTTTTGAACAGCCCTCCGTGCTTCGAGAGAACACGGAGGACCCTGACTTGTTTTCAATGCTTTTTCCATGGGACAGATGCCACGCGCTTGAAGAGCAAGACCCACAACCCTGAACCCATCAACCCGAAATCCTAGAGCGGACAGCCCAACGCCATCGTAGCGAATCTCAACTCTGGGACTCAGGCCCGTGTTCTACCCGGAGACCTTGGCTCTTGGCTTCCATTCGAACCTCGACTCTGGAGATTAAGCCGAAGCTTGCGCGCAGCGCTATGGTTCTTTGTTTTTGGTGAAGGGAGGAGGGGTGCTTCAAATTGTGGGTCCTCGCTCTTAGGGATCTAGTGGTGCTGTTTTTTGAGGGTTATAGCCCTAGCTGCAACCTCGGTAGAGGACGATGGCATGACACCAAGCTGCTGCAAGGGTTTCCTCCGTGCGTGTACAGCTAGGAGGTGGGAGTTTCCGAAGGTAAGTATGTATGTATGTATGTATGTATGCATGCATGCATGGATGTATGTATGTATGTATGTATGTATGTATGTATGTATGTATGTATGTATGTATGTGTATATGCAAGAGAAGAAACATTGACAT